AGCCTGCTGTGGGTGACCCTGCTTGGGCAGGGGGTTGGGCTGGGTGACCCCCAGAGGTCCCCTCCAACCTGTGCCATGCCATGACTGAGAGGACGCGTGACAGCAGAAGGCGTATGCCCAGAAGTGCTGGCTGGAGCCTTGCCTGAGGCTCTGCTTCCCAGAGTCTGCCAGGCACGTGGGGCCGATTTTGTCCCGTGTGGAAGACCGGGAAAAAGAAGGGCGAGCTCAGTGCTGATTTAAAAACTGGATCTGAGGTAGGGACGTGTCAGATGGCCTTCGCCTTGGAGTAGCCCCTGCTTCTCGGAGTGTCCCCTGGCCGTGATGGAAGGCCTTGCCTCCCATCCTCTGTTTCCTAATTGCCATGGACAGCGTTTCTGGCAGCAGCGCTAACGAATGGATCTCTCCCCCTCCCATTCCAGCTGGGAGGGAAAGCAGTGGAAATCTGTCTTTCCTCTCATTAGCACTGAACGTGTTGCAACTGATGAGCCTTGCAGGAGCTCAGGGTTAATCTTCCTGGACAGGACTTCTTCCTTATCTACCCAGACCTTCTCTCTGGAGGTCCTCACAGTGAAATGCCACGCTCAGAAAGCCACTGGGCGCTTGTAGGGATGGGCTCATTGATCAGATGCTTAAGATGTGGCTTTACAATATTTTCTTTTTTTTTTTTTTTGAAATGAAGAGGGTTTTAAAAAATATTGGCACTTAGATTTTCATGTCAGAAGAACAGGAAGGTTGAGCAGGTGAAAAGAAAGGGTAGAAAGCAGGAGGCAGAATTGGGCCCATTGCTGCATCTCCCTCTCGCGTGTGAGCGTGGTGGCTCTCAGGGGTGTTGTGAGGACTGGGAAATGCTTGGAAAACCTCCAAAATCTTTTCAAAAGAGGGTGTTGGGACGGCGCCAAGCACAGCGCTTTGTTCAGCGCTCCAGGTCCTGGGGGAAGAGCCGCTACGAGCCTTCCCCTTGCTGGGCGACTCGGACTCTGTGCTCAGGGGTCTTGCAGCTCCCAGCATGACTGCTTAGGAAATAAGTAAAAATCTGTAATTTCTGTGAAGCTTAATCACAGAATCCCAGCATGGTAGGGGTTGGAAGGGCCCTCTGTGGGTCACCCAGCCCAACCCACCTGCAGAAGCAGGGTCACCCACAGCAGGCTGCACAGCACCGCG